GGGCTTTCGAGGAGGAGGAGGTGCACGAGGCTGTGTCGAGTTGTGCTGGTGATAAGGCCCCCAAGCCTGATGGTTTCTCCTTGGCTTTCTTTCAGCTCTTCTGGGACACCATCAAGGGGGAGTTGATGGAAGCCATTGAATACTTCCATGCGAATGGTATTTTCAAGAGAAGTATCAATGCTTCCTTTATTACTATTGTGCCTAAGAAAGAAGGTGCATCTTGTATCAGAGACTACAGGCCTATTAGTCTCGTGGGGAGCATTTACAAGATTATTTCTAAAGTGCTTTCCAACAGATTTAAGAAGGTACTTGACATGACTGTTTCGTCCTCCCAGAATGCGTTTGTGGAAGGTTGGCAAATACTGGATGCTGCCTTGGTGGCAAATGAACTTGTAGACTCCAGAAGGAAAAATAGAGAACCCGGCTTACTATGCAAGTTGGCTCTTGAGAAGGTTTTCGACCATGTCAATTGGGAGTTCTTGGACTTCATTATGATGCGGATGGGGTTTGGGGAAAGATGGAGGGGATGGATAAAGTTCTGCATTTCCTCAGTCAGGTTCTCTGTCCTGGTTAATGGTAGCCCGTGTGGTTTCTTTGGCAGATCCAGGGGTCTCAGGCAAGGTGACCCCCTATCCCCCATGTTATTCATTCTAGTGATGGATGCTCTGAGCAAAATGATTGATCGTGCGGCGACGGAGGTTTCTTGAGAGGATTCTCAGCTCCGATTGGGGTGCTCAGTGCCCGAAGAGTCTCACATTTGCTTTTTGCGGATGACACACTGGTTTTCTGTGATGCCGATATGGATCAGTTGACCTACCTGAAGCAGGTCCTGCAGTGGTTTCAGTTAGTATCAGGACTCAAAATCAACATCGGCAAGTGTGAGATTTTCCCGGTAGGTGAGGTTACTAATATTGATGCCTTGTCTGGTGTTCTCAGATGCAAGGTGGGCTCCCTTCCCACTACTTACCTGGGCCTCCCTTTGGGCGCTTCATATAAGGATACTACGGTTTGGAATCCAGTGATCGAGCGGGTTGAAAAAAGATTAGCAGGGTGGCAGAAACGGTATTTGTCAAAAGGAGGTAAGGAAGTGCTTATCAAAAGCACTTTATCGAGTATGCCCACCTATTACTTATCACTATTGCAAGCACCGGTGAGCATCACAGAAAAACTGGAGCGACTTCAAAGGAACTTTCTGTGGGATGCGGTGGATGGAACTAGAAATTTTCATCTAGTGAATTGGCAGACATTCACTTTCCCAAAGAAGTGGGGTGGACTTGGAGTGAAAGATCTTAGGGTATTTAACAGAGCTTTAATGGGAAAGTGGTTGTGGAGATTTGGGGTAGAAGAGCATGCTCTATGGAAGGAGGTCATAGTAGAAAAGTACGACTCAACGGGAGGGGGTTGGAGGACCAAGGCGATCACAACACCTTTCGGGTGTGGCATGTGGAGGAGCATCATGAAGAATTGGGAAGCATTCAGTGGCAACATCACTTACAGGGTGGGAGATGGAGGGAGAATCAACTTTTGGAATCATAGGTGGTGTGGAGAAGATACTCTCAGGGTCTCCTTCCCCCACGTCTTCAGAGTTTCAAACCAGAAAGAACTGATGGTCCAACAGATTCGCAAGGAGCATGGGGGGGGGGGGGGATAGTATGGGACCTCTCATTCAGGAGGAACATGCAAGATTGGGAGATTGCGGAGCTCCAAGTTTTGTTTGTTGGCGCTACTATACGGGCAAGACAAGCTTCAGCCATCCTGTGACTCTTGGAGATGGGGCTTGCGTGGCGATGGTTTGTTCACCGTAAAGTCCTTTTACCAGAGTATGTTGGTGAGAGAGGAGACCACTTTTCCATACTCCTCGATCTGGATTCCTAGGGCGCCCACGAAGGTGTGCTTTTTTGCATGGCTAGCGGCAAGGGGAGTGATCTTGACTGCTGAAAATCTCCGAAAGAGGGGAATTACACTTGTTAGTTGGTGCTACATGTGTAAAAGCTCAGGGGAAGAAGTTGATCACCTTATGTTGCATTGCCCTGTGTCCTCTGCTTTGTGGAGGGCAATCCTGAATCTTTTTGGTGTTCAATGGGTGATGCCAAGCACTGTAAAGGAAATGTTACATAGCTGGGGCGGTTTTCGTAGAAGAAGAAAGCAAAAGGCGTGGAAGTTCGCCCCGTTAGCTCTCATGTGGGTAGTATGGGGGGAGAGAAATAGGAGAGCTTTTGAGGAGATTGAGTCTCCTTTTTCACATCTTAAGAATAGTCTTTTATCTTTGATCGCTTTTTGGTGCACTCATTTAGCCCCTACTTGTATAGAAGATTGGGCGTCTTTTGTAGAGAATCATGTTCTGATGTAAATTCTCTACGTCTTTGGTATACTTCGTGTATACGGGAGTTCTCTCCCTTTTGATTAATACAATTTACCTTATCAAAAAAAAAAAAACTAAGAAATATTTCTTTAACGCTAAAAAATGACTCATCAAAACCAATTAGTATTTCTGAACGCAAACACTTAACTAGGAACTGTCTTCATGTAGGCTTTTTACTTTAATTAGATTTAAAGTAAAAGTTGATGCTGCTCCTTGTCCTTAAAGTCAACTGTCCCTTAATGTGACAACTGATGGGTTATCTTCTTTTTTTTTTTTTTTTTGGGGTAACAAAAGTCACTAAACTATGAAGACAAATCATTGGAAACGTCAAATTTTCGACATTAATTACAACATAATGCATATATATAGCTATGAATTGTCGGCTACAAATATGAAAATCGTGGCTAATATCTAACAAGGACTGAAAAAAATTGAAATCGCGTGGCTATTTATAATCGTATAAAATTTTTTAGTTACAAAAATTAAATTGGCAAAACTAATTCCTTATTTTTGCATGCTAAATATCATGGCAATATTTACCCAAATATCTATAATTTTATTGCTACAATAATTTTTCGTAGCTAATAATATATTTTTGCCATGCATTTGAAATTATTATAGCAATCTTATAGCCACAAAAAATTACTTGAAATAAAATATTATAGCTAAAGAGATATTTTTGCTTCAAGTTATAATAATTCGTGGCAATAACTGTTTTAATAGCTATAAACTTATTGCTACAATGAAATTTAGTAGCTAATCATAAATTTTTGCCACATGTTTGAAGTTGTTGTAGCAATTCTAATATTTTAGCCACAAGTATTTACTTGAAACAAAATATTATCGTTGAATAGATTCTTTTACTTCATATTTTAAAAATTTGTGGCAATAACTTGGTTACTAGCTAGAAACTCATTGCTAAAGTAAAATTTTGCAGCCAAATATAAGTTTTGTCACGCCTTTGAAGTTATTATAGCTACAGTAATATTTTAGTCACAATAAATAATTTGCAAGAAATGTTGAATCTAAACAAATATTTTTTATTCATGTTATAAATAACGGTGACAAAAGTAACACCCTTGTATTTTTCTACTCTTCGATCTTTATTACTGCATGTTGTTTCGTTTGCTTCGTTTGTCTTATTTCCCTGTTGTTACTGTTTGATGCTACTTTTTTTCCCGGCTTCTTCTTTGATGAGGGTCTATTGGAATAGCCTCTCTACCTTCACCAGGTAAGAGTAAGGTCTGCGTATACACTACCCTCTCTAGATTCCACTTGTGGAATTATATTGGGCTTGTTGTTATTATTGTTAAAACTCATTATACATTAAACTAACAATTGGGAATTTAATGTTTGTATATTACACGAGGTGTTGTCTCTTCTGTGACTATTATTTTATATTTGCAATACTTTAGTAATTCTGATACTACTATGTTTTATTTCAAAAAATTATTAAAAATTTAATATGATTGATATAAGAGTGTATAAAAAAGAGAACGTTATATCATAATTTATTTTAAATTAAATATTCCTTGTAAGCTTCAATATAATTTAAATAACTTAAAGAATTATTTAATTAAATTTGAGTATCTAATTATACCACATTTTAAAAAAACTACTGTGCTTTCTAATTATATTGATCACTAATTATATTCAGTTCAAAACAGCATAAAAAGTTATTGATGCTATGGTCTATTAAAATTAATGACTTAACAATTATCATAAATCTAATTAAAAATTAAAATTAATATTTAATATAGTTTAAATAGGAGCATATGATAAAACTAACAATATCATAATTTGATATAAAAAATGTATCACTAAATGTATAATTATAGTCAACCCTAAACTTGCAGACTTAATTTTTATTGCTAAATATTTTTTATATTTTCATTTTATGTTCTGTATATTTCAGAATATCATTTTTCATGAAATAGTTAATTTGTTCTATTTATTTACATTTATAGTATTTAATATAAAAAGTGAAGAAAGATATATATATATATATATATATATATATATATATATATATATATCTTTATTCTTCTAGTTAATTGGGAAGAGAAAATTTGAATCTTTATGTTCATTGTTAGATTAGTATATCTGCAAAAACATCCTGTACAGCTCAGCCTCTGGATTCTTGCCATTATAGTTAACTGCAGCCCAGTCAAGTTCATCATTCCAGCTCATTACTTGCCTCCGAATACCTTGCCATTGCAGCAGTTAACTCCATATTTCAGCAGCAATTGTGCATTGAAAGAACAAATGTGCTATACTCTCAGTTGCCTGGTTGCATAAGGGACATATATTAGATGAAACCACTCCCTACTTATACAGCCTTTCTCTTATGTACAATCTTCTATGAGTAGCCAACAATACGATGAATAACCATTTAAGTGTACCAATATTATTGCAACTTATTCTTCTCCGGGGAACCTTAGGATAGTCACCCCTGAGCTTTTGATACATGTTCTTGATAGAAAAGTGCTCCATGTTAATTAGCTCATTCATTGTCATGCCAGCTTGGGTAACATATTTGCCTGCGGTAGTAATTTTGCTGAGGCACCAAAATGCCTGTTGAAAGTTTGCATTCCATATAGAGCCGCCCTTCCAGTAATAGGCATGCACCCATATCACCCATAATGTATCCTCTTGTTTTTTGCTCAGATTCCATAATTGCTTGCAAATTGCCGCTTTATTCCACTTTTCTATGTCAATAAAATTCAAGCCCCCAGCTGATTTTGGATGACACAAAGTATCCCATGCCAAAAGTGCTCTATTTTCCTCTTTAGCACCAGTCCATAAGAATCTTTTACATGTAGTAATAATTTGTTTCACAATCTTCTTTGGAAGGATAAAGATCTGAGCCCAAATGGTTTGTATGGCAAACAACACGCTCTTAATCAATATGACCCTTCCAGCATATGATAAGAATTTGGTTGTCCAGTTAGTAATTCTATCCAACATCTTGTCTAGTAGGGGTCTACATTGTGTCATCGACAATCTCTTGGAACTAAGCGGGACTCCTAGATACCTGAAAGGGAGGTCACCTTTAGAGAATCCTAGCATATCCAGAATTTGTTGTTGCTTGACAGGGGGGAACCCCTCCGAAGTATACTGAACTTTTACTTTGGTTAGCACCTAGCAGTAAGTCCAGAGACCTTTGAGAATAACTGGAAACTTTCGAAGAGCAATTGCACAGACTCAATATCTCCCTTACAGAATAGCAAGAGATCATCTGCAAAGCCAAGCCGAATGATCTTTTCTTTGGCACATTTAGGGTGGTATTTAAACTTTGAGTCTTTAGCCATATTCCTTAATAGCCTGCTGAAATACTCCATAGCTAATACAAAGAGGAAAGGAGACATTGGGTCACCTTGTCTCAACCCCTTTTTTGCTGCAAAGGGTTTCCCTAGCCTTCCATTAATAGTTATTGAGTATGTAATAGTACATAGGCATATTACCCACCTGATGAACTTAGCTGGAAAGTGCAGCCCAACTAATACTTGATCAATGAAGATCTATAATTCTTTCTTGAAATTATAATGTAGGGTTACATACTTATTTTTGGATATATAAACACAATCAGTTATTTCTATTTTCTGGTGTTAATTTACTTTATCAAAATTAACAGGAAAATATGTGAAAACATTACAAAGCAGCTGTCAAACTAAGGTGCAGTTGGAGACAATATCAGGAGAGAAAGGAAAAGATTGTGAAGCTTTGAGTCTCAAGCAAAATTCTAGTACTATAATTGGTGTCATAGAAGAATTATGTACTGTAAAATATTTTGAGATTTAATATACAATTGTGTGTAACTTGAAACCTATTTTGGAATCTAAGGATTCTGCAAAAATTCTTGTGACTACCAATACTTATGACGAATTCTTCAATGTGTAGCAATGTAATGTTTTATGGGAAAATGACATTGTATAGTTGCTTTCAAAATAATAATCGAAAAATGTATATTTCTTATATATTTTTTGTTGATACGTACATTCTGTATTTTATATACAAAAATTATACAAATTTTATTAACTTTTTCAGCTACCGAATATAAATATTTTCTGGCCCGGGCTAAAAGTAAAAAAAAGCCCATGTTTTATTCCGTAGCTAAGCGCACATATATAATTGCCACGTAAATGTTCTCTCTTTTCGTAGCTTATAAAGAAAATCTTTAGCTATAATTTCTAAACTCGTAGCTTAATACAAGTACTATTGTCACGAGCAGTGTTTAAAAGGCTTTTCTGGGACTCGCCCCGGGGCGGGGCACTATCAAAACGCCTCGAGACTCATGTGTGGGGCTTAATTTTGTGAGGCTTACTCCCCCAAGCGCCTAACTTTGCGCCCTAAACACACCTTAACGCTCAATGCTCGAGACTCACCCAGTAGTTCCTATGCAAATCATGTGTTAAATTTATTAATTTGCACCATTGACTCTTAAAATTCTTTAACAAATGAATGATTAAAGTTCTTTTTATCTACATGAATATAGAGTTGTGAATAACTCAAATAACGAATCATATTATTATATATTTATTAATTGAAAACATCGTGAGAGTGAGTATCATTTGAATATTTCTTCTAAAAATAGATGATCAAAATTTATATCTTTACTTGATAGATCTTCATGTCATAGTTTTATGCCTCTCAAAATTATCATACATTCTTTATTTACTATTTAAAAATAATTTTATATTTATTCATGAAGGAGTTATATTTTAAATTACAGTGTTGATAAAATTTATTGACTATTTACTTTTAAAGAGGTAAAATATGCAGTTTGATAATATTTTTTAAGAAATTATAATTTTTAATTGTTTGAAAGTTAAGAGGTTATAGTTAATTTATATTTCATAGTAACTTTAATAATATTGTATTATTTATACTTGTAAAACATGCTAAATATTTTATTTTATATGAGTTTCTTTAATTGTTTTTAGTTTTTGAACTTTTAATGTATCTTTTGTTATAATGCTATATTATTAATTCATAAATTTAAAAAATTAAAGATCCGTGGGGCTTACGCCCCGTGTCTCGAGGCTTTAGCCTCGCCCAGTATTAAGTAAAATGCCCCGCCTCACGCCCCCACCTTTTAAAACACTGGTCACGAGACTAAGCTAAAAAAATAGCGACAAAATTTGAATTAAATTGGCAACCAAATTAAGTATTTTGCCACAATAAAATACATTGTGGTTACAATATAGAGACTGCTACATATTTTATTTGTCGTGGCAAAAGACTAAGATTATTTGCTATAAGTATATATTTCGTGGCAAAAAACTTTTATCACTATAGCTGCAACACAAAAAATATTTATAGCAATAAGTATTAGTCTTTAGCCACGGAACATGTAAAGTTTGTAGCTAACTTTTAGTTATGCTATATTTTGCTACGAACGGAACGGAAAAAATTATTGTGGCTAAAGTGTTTTGCTATGGAAATTTTCATATTTAGCTACGATATACTTCGTAGCTATATATGCACACTGTTGTAGTGATTGAAAGATGACACGTCATTGTCAGGTATCATCTATTTGCCAGTATGTACATCCACATCAGAAGGTTTCAAAAAAAGGTCAGCCAGATGATTGAAGCCATTTGCAGGATGGTTGAAGGCATTTTTGGTGTGCCTCACCCCAGCCCGAAAACGCCTTTTAAAACACTGTCAAGAGTGCTTCGGAAGAGACTGATATGCAACAATGGTGAAACTCCCAAATGGAATCTTATCCTCTATTTGTCTATACTTGGTAAGCTGAGCACAAGAGACAGATTGGGAAGATGGGGTATAACAACTGAGGAAAGCTGCCCCTTATGCACTGAGGAAGAAGAAAGTATCAACCTTTTGATCTTCAAATGTACCTATGTTGCCACTATTTGGGGTAAACTCCTAAAATATATGGATGGGTATCTCAAGACAAGAGTTGGAGTGAAGATATGAACTAGCCTGGCCATATTGTCATGTCAAAGGTAGCACTGCTAAAAGGGCAGTCTGGTCCACAAAATATCCCGCATTCACGCAGGGTCCGGGAAGGGCCGTACCCCCAAGGGGTATGATGTAGAAAGCCTATCCTAATACAAGCATTATTAATGGCTGCTTCCACGGCTCGAACCTGTAACTACAGGTACATGGAGACAAGTTTAGCGTTGCCCTAACGCTCCTCTACAAAGGTAGCACTGCTAGTAAGTAGATATATCGAAACCTTAGCTGGATGTGTTTATTTCGTTTGGCAAGAAAGAAACATGATGATTTTCCGGGCAAAACAGAGGCAAGCTGAGCAAATTGTTAAATTGATCATTCAAGAAGTGTTTCTGTAAAGGAAGTAGTATAAAATTCAGGTTGACTAGTAGGCTTGATGAATTGAATTATTACCCCTAAATGTGAGCTGCTCATGACATATACTGTAACCTGATTATTGAATATAATACAACAACAACAACAAACTCAGTGAAATACACTAGTGGGGTCTGTGGGGAGGGGTAGTGTACATTGACCTTACTCCTACCTGAGAAGGCAGAGAGATTATTTCCGATAGACCATTAGATGATTCTTGAATATAGTAATTGCTGTAATACAGGTAATAGATAGTTCTTGTTTTCCTAAAGTTGGGGATGCATGTCCAACTTTAGAACAGTTCTGTTTGTTTTTCTCTGTAGCTGAAATTTCTTCTCTTGGTAATAAAAGTTAACTAAATACTAAAAGAAAAACTACCTTGATTTAACCCAAAGTGATTTGAAAGTATGTTGGATGTAAATTTCAAGTCCCATTGTTCAGTAAAACTAAATTTAGCATCTTTTAGTAAGTTTATGTAGTAGGCTAATTAGGTCAAAAAAGCTAAGGATATAGCCCTTGATTACATTGCTAGCAGCTCTATCAAGGACAGTACGTTCATCTACATCCTTGATTGTGTAATTTAGCACCTGTATATCCTTGTTCTTTCAGTTACTGTTTTCTTCTGTGATTATTCAGATCTAATGATTATTATACTGTTTCGTGAAGATCTATTTATTTCCATGTGAAGATCTATTTATCCATAGGAGAAGATTCCTCTTCCTTTGCTCTCTCTCCTTGCAGAAATCATGCAATAGGTCAAGAACATGCTTTGATCTTACCTCTAGAACTCCTTTTAGTTCCCATCACTAGATTTCTTCCAATAAGATTCCCCAAATAACCTTCTGCTATATTCCCCAAACTCTTGCCTTTGCAACTTTTTATGAATCCTTCTGAGATCCATAACCTTGTTAACTTCGAAACTTTAATCACATAGTCCTCTAAAAATGCTCCAAAATAAAGAAAGCAAGACCTCAGATGATAGGGTAAACTCTGATAACTTTGTTCTATAATGGCTCTTGAGTCATTGTGAATGTAGAGACTTAAAATTTTGGCCACTTGTTCCCAATATTCTTCGTTCTTCTCCGTCTTTGACAGAATACCATCCACCAAAGCAACTGAAAGAGGCAACCCTCCACACCTTTTTACTATTTGTTGCCCAATATCCATTAGGAGAGGGAACAACTTTCTTCGCCAAACACCTTCTTCTGAAGTAGCTCCAAACATTCATCATCGTTAAACATACGAAGTGGAACTGGATCACTTCATATAACGAGTAAAACTGAAGTCCAACATCAATAACCATAGTGTCAATATCTTGAAGAAATTCAAGATCTTTTATCGGCATATTGGCTCTCAAGAGGTTAAGCATGTTTTGAAGGATTGCCAAGTGATCCTCCAAAGCAACTCTCTGACTGGAATTACTATAAGATGTCAGCTCCACCAAATTGTGTACGATAGTCGAGCAAAAAATATCGTCAAGTTGTTGCAGACGTTCAAAAAGACTACTCTTTGAAGACAGATATTGGTTAGAACTAAGAAGACATCTCTCAGAAGTAGTGATCAAAAGAAACTGTGATGAACTTGAACTGAAGTCCATTGAGGTAAAGTTCTGCGATAAACTTGTTGACAAGTCAGCAAGGGATATCTGGGAAACAGTACAAGTTGAAGATTATCAGAATTCTGATTTTGATGTCTTTATCCAGGAGAGGAGGCCTTTATTCAGGTATACTACTGAGAAAATTCAACTAGTTCTAGTCTCATTTTGAAATTCTGTTAAATCAATTCTCCAATTTACCTAGCGTGGCGCCCTTTACTAATTATTCCTTTAGCTTGAAACTTTAGCTAAAGCTTAGTATTATTCATGTGTATTTTATTTATCAAAGGTAAAAGTTCTTGAAATTCTAACTACTATCAATAAAAAGATGAACTTTAGCAATAAACTAAAGGAGGACAATACAAGAAAGCCTATAGTTTCTCAATGTAAACAGTTAATTAGTCAAACGGCCTC